CACGATTTTTTTCAAAAAAAGCTTTAGATTTTGGTGGACTCTTTCTCGCATTTCCTGAATTGGTGGAAACGTAGGGGCGGATCCGAGATTTTTCAAAGCGGAGGGTGGGGTGGGGGGTCGGAGGTTGGTACCTTGGGGTGTTAGAATCCATGGGGCATCCCGCCAAAATGTTACAATTTGAGAATTGGAGGCTAATTGAAAACTTAAACACCAAGACACTAGCAATACCACAACTATTTTGGTAGAAACAATACTTGCAATTATAACGAGGTACCTGTCCGAAGTGTTTGCAGTTTATTTCGATTTTGCCATAACATTCCTAATCGTTTTTATTATTACTATTTTTATTATTATTAGTACTAGTATTGTTTTTATTATCATTATCAGTATCAGTATCAGTATCAGTATCAGTATTATTATTATTATTATTATTATTATTATTATTAATTATTACTTCTTACTAACCGAGTTCGAGAACCGTACTATAAGTTATGGACCGAGATTTCTATTTACGCCGAACGGCTTCAATTTCTGACGCACCTCGAAAGCAAAACGAGTCAATTTGACATCGTTGTTGAGTGACTCTTAAGTCGTTAGCGGGTTTTAATACACAAATTCAGGAGTAAAAGAAAGTTTTAAGCTTTTACTTGCCAAAAAAGTTAAGAACACCTGGCGATAAATCACGAAACATTTTGGCAAGAAAAAATGCGGACCGTACAGTAGAATACGGGCCGCTAAATTGACCAGTTACACTAATAACCACAGTACTAACTGAGAGCAGGAGCCATAATCGGGGACGGAGACCGTAAGTGCGCGCCATTTCTAGCATTGGGGCTGTCCCTATGATATGGGACAATTTTTCTATTTTTAGAACAAATTGCGCCATCATGTGTGGCACACGCGCGTTCATGCTGCGAGGATTTTTGCGGATGTAGCGTGGGGAAATGGCGGCCGAAATTCCCGAAGTGTTTGATGCTTTTGGCTCACAACTCAATACGTTCATGTCTGTTGGAAGTTTACTTCAGTATTTTCGTCGTAAGCTGTTCCAGTTTGAGTGAAGTAAGACAGTTCGAATTTAGTTATGTGCCGCTTTATATCACTGACCAAGTTGTGTTCTGCTGCTTCTTTTACAAGAACTCCAAATTACTCCACTCTGAGTTTCACATATGTTGAAGATTAACAGCTTTTCCAAAGCACAGCAAAAAACTAGTAGGATATCTTTGGATATAGCAGCGTTTCAGGACTTCAACGTTTCCCTCCTCTTGCCACAAGCTTGCGAGGATTTCGTAGTCTATCTCGACCGAAAAGTAAAAAATAATAATAATAATAATAATAATAATAATAATAATAATAATAATAATAGTAATAGTAATAATAACTGCAAGTTTGAATTGAAATTCGCCTGAATTGTAAGCAACGCTTGATATTTTATCAAGGCCCAATAAGTGA